GATAGCGGAGTTGTCTCCTGCGTAGCATTTTCGACGACATGGACTGGGATTCCCTGTTGAACAAACGACTTAGTGCTAGACAAATTACGGCCTGCACCACTGTCAGCAATCCACTCTAGCATGTAGACTCCCGAGGAGTCCTGCATTTTCACAGGCATGGCGGGGTGGCTGACTGTGGCCGGCAATGCACTGGGTGCGGTTGTGATAATGTCTGGTGTGATGAATGTGGCAAAGGCCGTGGTTATCCACGCCAAGAATCGCATCGGGGCACCGAATGCATGCTTCACTGAGCTGGTCCAGCTGGCCCGGCTGGGACGCAGCAGTGTCGCAACAGTGGCAGTTACCTTTGCAGTGGAACTCGGTCCACTACCACTGGACGGTGCGGCTTTGGCGGCAGCAGCCTGCGCCTTTGGCGCGGGCGATGGGGTTGCACCTTCGTGTGAGAATGGACAATTATCCCCTCGGTTGCAAGTACCCTTTGGGTAGAACAAGCATGGAGCCTTTGGCCTCTCGCTGCCTGTAGGGTTCTTTGAACCCCCAGAACCCTTTGGATTCTGCTTTCCCTTTGCTTCATCCTTGTCCTTGCCTTTGGCTTGGTTGCCTTTGCCCTTGGGTTTGCTTTTAGCACTCCCTTCGCCAACCTTTGGCTGGCTCTTTTGACCCTTCGAGCTACCAACCTTTCCAGGTGCAGTATCCTTCTGGGTCGCACTGGCGACAGCTGCAGGGGCGATCTGGTTCACACCATGGTCCTGGTTAGCCTTTGGCTGATTCTTCCCGGTTTTGAGGGGGGAGCTAAGTGAATCTTTGATTACCTGCTCGTTGGCGTCCTCTCGCAATTCGTCGAGATGCTCTTTGAGCTTTCGGAACAACCATCCCCAAGTGCGATACCTACTGCCCTCCTTACTGTCCTTGATTTTGTCAATATGTCTCGACATGGATCTGCACCTCTTGAGTCTACCAAACAACCATGTATATTTGGTCATCTCACTTGGCGCATGCTCTGATGAAATTGCATTCAACACGAATTCAATGCGGTTCACAAACTCCCTCATGGCCGTGTATGTGAACGATTCCAGCGGGATTTCAAGGAAGGACGTCATCGTGAGATTCGACCCTCGCAAGTTATCCAACCTATACCTGTTGGCCAGCACAGCGAGAAGATACCGCCCTTTGGGGGATCGACGGCTTTGCTGACAACCCTCTGCATACGCCTGGAAAATCATGCCAATCTCGCCCTTAAGGTGCTTGGGTTCCATAAGGAGAGACGCCAAATGTGCGTCCAGGCGCGGCAACAAACCTGAGTCTGTTGCAAAACGTTGGGCAGCGACGTCACCGATGGAATCAAAAGCCTCTAGCAGCCAGTTCAAGATAACATCCCTCCCAGTCGCATCAATGCTGCAAGCTTCAGTGATGAAGGTATTCTTCCATCCCCTAAACTGCGCTGCATCATTAGGCAATTGCGGCACGATGACAAGCTGCAAATCCCTGCTCTTATACACATCCTTCTCTTCGAGAGGAACGTTTGACCCAACACCACCACTAATCCTCGACTGAGCAGAATGCCTGGATGCAGGACTACGATGACTACCACCACCACCATCCCCAGACCCACCCCCACCTCCTCCTGGCCTAGAGCTGGATGAGGACGTTGACGAGTCGGATGGCTGGTCGTCTTCTGAGTCATGGTCCTGGGCGGAATAGGCAAACTGCTCGGCCCCAGGAGTATCCGGGTCTGGAGTGGGCAACACGACACTGGCGGGGGGAGAGGCGGCCTGCCTACGTCCCCTTGACCTGTGTCCTTGTTCACGCACACGCTGTTCTTTGAGCTCTTTCACTGTTTCTTGAAGCCCTTGCATGGTTTGCGTTACTGTGGCAACGAGTGCCTGCATGGTCTCACATGTACGATTTAGATCCGAGTCATTTTGGCGAGGGGGATCATGCGATGACCTAGATGCCGATGCTTGGGCTGCAAACACAGCTTCCTGAGCCTCACGACGTTGCTCTTGCAATTGCTGCATCAAGAGTTGCATATCAAGATGTTGCTGCTGAACCTGTTGTTGCAAATCCCGGTTCTGCTGTTCAAGTCGATGAATGGCATGCGCCGCTTCTTGTGACGCTGCCTGGGCCTGGGTAACATGAGCAGCAGCAGTATCCTGAATATTTTGTACAAACTCTTGAGCTTGTAGCTGAACAAGGGAAGACCTTTCTTCCACAAATCGTCTGGCTTGCTCTTGTGCATCCGAGACTTGTCCCTGGGCTTCTTGGCGAACCTGATCAAGGGCAGCTAACACTCTTTCGGGATCAACCCCTTGGAGAATCACCTGATTGAGCTGTTGATACAACTGCCGTTGGTCAAACAACTGATGATGCATATGTGCTTCAAACCTAGCTGATGGCACACCACTCTGAGGTCGCACAACATCTGGCATGAGCTCATCGCTGGGCTCGCTGTCACGTTGGGACGTGGGCCCTTGCTGAGACAATGCATCTTGGCCAAATGGAGGCATAGGAGCCCTGGGTACAATAGCTCCATCCGGAGTTTGGGGAACAGGAGGATCTGCTGAATCACTCTTAGCCCTACCAGACTCAATTGCAAGAGATCTGCCTCTGCTAGAGCTACTTGATGAGGACCTAGGCGTTCCCTTTGATGACTTTGTCATCTTTCGAACCGTCAATGCTCGTGACTGATTAGTAGGGTCCATTGCACTGGCACCTTTGGCGCTATCGGACGTGCTGGATACCTGCAATGATGATTCGTTGGATTCAGGTGGACTCAAACCTGTTGAGGCCATGTCTGAGAGTGGCGGGCTGCCAACAACTCAGATGCTTTGCGATGGATTGCACAAAGTACTCAACAATCAAGGATCTACCTATCAAGGAATACAACAAGTGCCCAAATATGGATATGGTAATGATCAATTTGCCAACCCTGTATTGTGTGTGTGTGTTGTGATGACCCGCGGCAGTGACTTTTCTATGCCCTGCTTGATACGACTGCTCACACACTAAGCAAGCAGATCCCGGACAAACCTCTCCAGGTTGTCCCGCCTGGGATTGAAGCGATATGCCGTAATCACAGAATGGTCCAAGTTACAGATCTCTTGGACAATGGCAAACTTATCGTCAATGTGATACAGCGCCTCAAGCTCCTTCCCCTGCCGGATCAGCTCAGCCCAGAACTCAACAAGCGCTTCGCCTTTGCCAAGTTCACCGACGGGCTTACTAGTGAAGACAACTGCAACACCAATATCGTTAGCCCGTAGAGCGTCCAGCGCACCTCTGCAAGTGGAGTCCCGCACTGCGTAACTCAGCACAAACACGTAGATGCCTGAGTCTCGCAAATATTGGATGACACTCCTCGCTGCAGAAAAATCAATATCCACCACGTTGTGGAAATCCAATGACACCACTTTCTTCCACTGTGAAGAAATGCACTCAGTCAATCCACTAATGGTTGTCCGAACCGGTGGAAAGAATGACGGCACAGGCGGTGCCGGGCCAGATGGCTTGCGCTTCGCAGCAGGAATAATCTGCACTGACGAAGATGGCACTGGCCGGGATTTCGCACTCAAGCCAACCACAGGCGCTGTCACAGGCGCCGGATCGGTCTCCGGTGAAGGAGGCCGAGGCCTACGCTTCACCGTCGGCCGAGGCGGCGGCGGTGGCGGTGGCACAGGTGGTGATGGCACAGGTGGTGAAGGCACAGGCGGTGGAGGCAAAGGCACAGGCGACTGTGGCCTTCTCCACGGCGGTACCTCTTCAGGTGCAATCGACAGCTCTTGTATTCTCCAAGGTGGGATCTCAGGAGCGGCGGATGAAGTGGCCGGCTGATTAGCTGCTTCTTCGTCCGATCCTTCCACCTCAAGAAGTGAGCAGTCACTGTCCGAGTCAACAGTTAGCGGCGGTATCACCGGGGCAAATCTCTCGGGATAGTTGCCCTCCTCCAAGAATACGATGCGATCCTGTATAGACTGCAAACGTCCCCGGAGAGATCGAGATTCCGCACCACCACCAATGACGGCTTGAAGCTGGACCGTGTACCGACGCAAAATGGTAAGGTGGATTGCTTTCAACCTCCTTTGCGCGGCAACACCTCCTCTGCCTCGAGCTCGGGCCAATGCAGCTTCCAACTCTGTATTTGCAATGGCTGGTGGCACACGATCACTCATCCACACACAGACAGGGCTTTGATCCTCGCCGTGCACAAGTGTCCACAAGTATGTTGCAAGTAAACACGAAGCACAGGCACTGAGTGTAGGTAGGTTGCAGGCGTGCAAACGCTACCCAGGTTGGCTTTCACGCAGATATATCCGGATTAAATGAAGATGTCGGTCACAGCACTTAGTGCAATGGATGTGCCAAGTACAAGTAGAGTCTCTGCTTTGTTGCAAGTACAGGACACGGGTCCGTGCAAGTCACAGTAAGATGCAGGCGGCTCAGGCTGCACTCAAGTGAGGCACGGGGCTATGGCTCGGCGAGTCACAGCAAATATGAAATGAAAGCAAAGCTTGAGTGAGTAGTGTTAACACTAACCTTATAGGCTGAGGCTGTTAACCAGTTGTTTCAAGGAGACCCCAGGGAAACAACGAACCCTGACAACAAGCAGCAACGCGCCTGTTTCTCCTTGAGCCAAAACAAAATGAGTTCATTCATGATATGGATACGTCAACAGGTATACACATGGCGGCAGCACTCATGATGGTCCGTGAATCTTCAACTAGTTTGGCTAGACACACATGGCGCTGGTTTAGCTGGGTTTTGTTCCATGTTGCCAGGGCATCTACTTTCCCCAAAGGCCAGCTACTGTGGATGGACGAACTCCGTTTCGCACCACCCAAAAAACCCCTAGAATGATGCTTCCCCTGTAAATACCAACACACGATGGTTTCCCATGGTTTCAAAGTGGCGCGAAGTGGATATCGTCCATCCAGAGTATGGTTGTGCATTCGTCAAGATAAGTCAGAGACCATACACCCCTACACCGCCGCCGCTCGAGCCAGGTCCAAGAAGCCTTTGCCGGAGATTCAAAGGCAGGGGACTTGATCGGGACTTTCTGGACCCCCAAAGGACACGTGTGTTCTGCCTGTGTACCACATGTTTATGGGTCAAACGCAGAAAAAGGAATCGGTCCATTGGAGGTCCAAGTTTTTTAGAGAGCAAGGATATCACGAGGTCTTGAGCTGGTTGTCAACCTCCTTCATATGGGATTAGGTTATTGCCTTGAGCTTCTCTTTCTCTGCCATTTTGTAGCAACTCTTGGTTCCATGATGCAACTTGCTTGAGGTGCCTCGAAGCGGTTCCAACTCCAAAGGTGACCAACTTGTCCAGAAAATTCCTTTTTGCAGAAGGGTCGTTACAGCCACCGTGTTGCTTTTTGGCATCCGCAGCCCAAAAGAAGCGGCGCCTTGCCCCGCTTTTTTGCCTTGGACGCGACTCGCGGCTGAGGTCTCGGTGGTTTGGCCTTCATGGGATGCGAAGGTGCGGGGACAGAGAGACAACCTCCAAGCCTACCAGGACCTTGGCCCAGTCGTTCGAGGAAGTGATTGGCCAATCGGATCACTAGTGGTTTGGCGATTCCTCTCTTGCGTATGTTTTGCCTTTTTTGCTGGCTGGTTCTGCTGTTTTTTTGTTCTTCTTTTTCCCCAGCCAGCTGGCTGGTTGTTCGGTTGTTTGCTTCATGATTGTTTTTCTCAGGCAGTTTGGCAGCTTGCTTCTTTGCTTTTCATAAACAAGTTTCGGGAAAGAACTAAACAATTCATCTAATGTTCTTTTGAGTTGATCACTGATGTGCAAGTTGCAGTTCATCATTGTTCAAACAAGGAACTTATTTTCAGTGTTTCCTCAGTTCCTGAGTTCATGAACTTTAAACTTTTTGGGAAGACCATTTTAGCGGTAAATAGAAAGTTTGGACTTTTTGTTGGCCTTCCACTCAGCAAGTGAGTTTCTGTGTTATACGTTTTCGGGAGTTCTTCGCTTTGGTTCAACCTTTGGGTCCCTGGCGTCCCTTTTGGGCTTGGACAGCTGCCAGAAAGGGTAGGGCACGTTGAGTTCGGCCAGGGTTCGGCCGTCACAGCAGCATGTTAGTGAATTTTCAGTACCTCCTTTAGGTCCGCCAGTAGTGCCCGTTTGACCAACTTTTTTGGTTGGGAGGGTGTCCCTACTAAGATAGACTGCAGAAAAAAAAGGGCACCCTTATTCTAACCTCTCTACTGGAGGACCTATTATATGGACATGCGTCTTTTTGCACGCGACCCCAAGCCCCCCCAAAGCTCTGGGCAGCTTTTGGGGACCGCCGAAGATGGATATCTTTTCTCTCCTTCCATTTGCTGAACTGACTATGCTTCTCATTTTGCCGTTTGGTTTTAAAAGGGAATCGATTTCACTGCTAACAATATGTTCTGTGTTTTTCTTCACCCCAGGGGATGAAAAACCGCAAATTGAAGAAAGACACCTATCTTTACTTGGGTATTGTCTGGGATGGATATCTATGTAGTCAGGATCCTGAGCAACCGCAATGATTCCAATGAAGACATGAAAAGCTGCAATTCAAGGGGTTGATTCCCCATTCTTTCCAACCATCGTTCTTTTCACAAGCCAGTTGTCTGGAAAGATTCGGATCCCTGGAAAGAATGGACATGGAAGGTACCCCTAGAGCAATGACTCGCTCCTTTCTCTCAGGACATGCTGCTGGCAGGCCGATGTCAGGTCGTGGTGGCGCCCAATGGGGGGTCCACCTTCACCTACGCCTCCACCGCCATGTGCGCCCAGCTTTTTTTTTCTCTTTCGCGGAGAAGCGGAAGTCCACGTGGATGCAAGCTACTCAAAGTTGACCCCATACTATGGATGCACGAAATCCTGCACCACATCGAATGCATGGGAAGCCATTGTTTGTTGGTATTTGCAGGAGAATCATCATTCTAGGGCTTCTTGGTTGGTGCAGGATTTCGTCCATCCACAGTATTAATAAACCCCTGTTTATTTATATTGGGGGGAGGCTCAGTTAGGGTGGGCCTTGCCCATCTTTTTATGGTATCCTAGCGTAGCCCCCCCTCTACGCAAGAACAGCATTTTTCAACCATTTTTTCACTATTCAAATCGTCATCCTTATTCATTATGCATATTTCCACTCAAAACATTTCATAACAGTCTCAACCTCAAAATCCATCAAAAAAGTCACATTTTCTCATTTTCTATTCCATCATTCTTGTCATTGTTAGGATGCTTGAGTGGAAATAGGAGTATAGGGTGGTTCATATGATATGGTTATTGATGGTAGGATGCATGGGCAAGGTTAAGCTCATTCATAAAAAAAACAAAAAAAAACAAAAATAATATTGTTCAAAAAAAAATATCTTCAAAAAAAATAATATTTTCAAAAAATAATATCTTCAAAAAATAATATTTCTCAAAAAAAATAATATTTTCAAAAAAAAGTAATTTTTCAAAAAGTAAATTCGCAAAAAATAAATTTTCAAAAATATTATTCCAAAAATTATGATAAATTATCTTACAATATTTTTTATCATATTTTTTGTAGAAATATTATGGGCAAGGTTAGGTAGATAGAATTTTATAACTTAAGTTCAGGATAATAATTCAATTGATGACCATTAAATTGTGTATATATCTTATCTCTTTCATGCATCATTTTAAAAATAATATTAATATCTCTCACGGTATTTTTCACATTAAACTTTTTTCCTTCAATGTATGTTTTAATGTCTTCTTTTACATCAAACCCTTCCCTAAAATGACAAGTCAACATCCACAATATACCTTTAATCATTTCATATTTTTTCTTACTGATTTTCAGAAATATTCTAACATAACTATAAGGTGGTATTTTATACACAGTTAAAAATATCAAAATGGCATCTTCAACATTTCTTTCATCTATTTTTTTAATCTCCAGCATATTTTCTATTATATTTTGATATCGTCTCCATCTTCTACAAGTTCTACATTCGTCTTCTTTACCCAAAGCATAATCAATAATATTACTTACTATTCCATTAGGTAAATTCAATTTGTATAATTCCATATGTTCTTTTTTGAAGTGGCAACAGTCGTAGCATTTCTTATTGATATAATTATTGATTTCGGTTTCAACCATTTCTATTATAATATATATAGTTTTTATTTCTTTAAATACTTTTTACAAGAAATATTAAATTACTATTTAAATTATTATCATTTACAACTACAATTGCACCTAACACAGTAAGGAATAATATTATTCAGTTCGTGCGACAACTCGTTTGATTTACGTTGCGCTGTCAGATTTGTCATTATATTACCATTTTTCATATCAATAGTAAAACCACATCCGCAGTAATTGCATTGATTATTTATATTGTCTAAAAACCACTGTGTATTTACATAACCTTCTTTAGATATGGTTCTTTTTGCTTTCCTGTCCTGTTCTTTGTAATTTAATACTTTCCTTTCAAAATAACTCATAATACATTTTTGATTAAATACATCATCAATATCTTTTGTATATTTATAAAATGTAACTTTGTTTAAATGTCTACACCTTGTAATTGCAGTCCATATCCATTCTGGATAATTCTTTACCAAAAAATGGTTATAATCAAAAATTGTTATGGTATCATCAATGCTACTGCCTTGGGCAGAATGACAAGTTGAGCAATATGCAAATATAAAATTGCTTCTTATTTTAGCAACTTCTACGGATTGTAAAATTTCGGTTTTGACATTCTTTAATGTAAATATTCCATCGCTTCCGATATGAACTATTTTATATTTGAAATTTACATTAAACACTGATGTTTTAGTTTTAGTATATTCCCTACATGTTAAAAATTCGCCTACTTCGTATTAATCTTTTCTATTTTCTAATTTTCTAATTTCATTTGAGACATTTTTACAAGTTGTATTTAAAAATGCTATGTTGTTGTTAGAATTGCTTATGTCAGTTGTATATTCGAAATATTTTTCAATAACTTTCATAATAGGTAATTTATTTTCAAAAATATCAAATTTAATATTTCTTAGTTTATCCTTATCTTCCTGTGTGTTAAGTCTCTTACATTCTTTTAACAAAATATTATATTCAAAAATGTTATCTATAATATTATCAGTATATAATTCATAGTCTCGAGTATTTGTTATCTCTTGAACTGGTTTTAATTGCTTGGTGTCTCCCGTTGCTATTATAATTTTGTTGTGTTTATTCTGCTCTACAAATTGTTTTATTCTCCAATATATATTTAAATTACTGAAATAAATTTCATCAAATACGATTACATCAAATTCTGTAAAATCAAATGGTTCTAATTTTGCATCGCCGTAGTTTATTCCAAAAAACTTATTTATAGTCATTGCTTCACCTTCGAATGCCTGTAATAATTTATTAGTAGGACAAATAAATATTACCTTATATTTTTTATCAACCATTTTTTGACATATATATGATTTTCCTGTGCCCGGTAGTTCGCCCCTGATCATAATAGGGTTATTCTGTTTAACAATCTCTATAATGTTATCAGTGTCGTATTCATCCTTAATATCAATAGTTTTACTTTCATGAACTGGTATTTTTATTAGATCATTCTTAACAACTTCATATTTTACAGTAGGAAGATTAATTTCATTGTCTCGCCCAGAAACTTTCCAACCTCCTATATCATTATGAAATTCTAATAATTGCTTTGCTTTCTCTACATTGTATGAATCAATTACAAAAGCATCGGTTTTCACACTATATACATTAATATCGTTGATTATTAATTTGTAAATGTCTTGATTCATTTTAAAATTATGATGTTGCATGAGTAGTTCTTTAATATATCTATAGCCGTTTCTTAATACTGCTTTATCCTTTAATTTTAATATATAATATGATGCTTTTATATTTTCTCTATCTATTTCATATTTATACTCTTCTTCATACTCCTCTTTACACTCTTCGTCTTCTGTACCTATATGTGATAACCTATGAATTTTGCCCTCTATCTGTGATAACTTATGAATTTTGCTTCCGTATTCTGTTTGATAATGGATTGCTTCATCAATACTCTTAAACAAAATGCTTTGATGCGCGGTAGCCTCTCCCTTCTCTAATAATCCAAAATTGACATTTCCTATTAATTTTTTACTTAGTATATCATCATTTTTATCATCTTCATCTATAGTAGTTTTCCAAAGTTCATTAACCATATCCTTATAGTTTGTTTTATGAATAAACGAAGGTTGTTTATAATATAATACTTTAATATTATATTGATTAATAAACTTTTTTAAAAACTTACCATAAACTAAATTATGTTTTTTATTAAACATTAAGCCCTCTTTATTCCCCAGTAACGTTTTTGTCATTATGAATTCAACTTCTTCTTTTGATTTAAATTTTAAACTTTCCTCCAAAAGATGTTTACGTTTAATACGTTCCATACTGTATTTATTTGGTATATTCGGATAGTTAACTTCAATATAATTTCATGTTAGATCGTGGAGTTCATCAATATTAATTGCATCATTGTATTCTTTCCAATTGTCAAACTGATTAAAAACTGGTATTTCAGTAATATCTATGAAACCCTTTGTAAATGCCTTATTTTCATCGATTTCAGTTTTACGCATTAAATTAAATTTATCCCATAATAATCCCGAAGGTGCTACAGTCCTTGTTTCGTTTAATATTTTTATATCAATGTCATCATAAAAAGATTTGTGAGATAAAATAAATAGAGATTTATTAAAATTAAACATTGCTTTATTCATATTGTTGTACATAGTTTCATTATTTGCTGCGATCCAACCATCGCTAGATGATTTAATTAAATTTTGAGTCTTTATGATATATGTTATCTTGTTAAATTTGACTTTAATTTCATCAATAATACCTGTGTATTTAATTCTGGGTTCATATCCAATATTTATCAACTGGAAATATATTTCTGCCAAATCATTATCTTCGGGCACTAAATATACTTCCCTTGTTTTATCATCAGTTTTTATTTTGAGTATATCATCTATACATTTAATCATTTTGTATTGCGGGGGTTCCTCTCTTTCATTTATATAATAATCAGTGTGTGCCTTTATAGTGGGTAGTTTTGATATTACTTGTTTTTGTTGTATTTTGCTTAAATCGTGGTTTAATGTATAAATGTGGTTATTTTTTACCATAGCGTAAAATGTTTTAATATGACGGTTTCTTATTTTTGGGTTATATTTGTAAATAAGTTCATTTACGAAATTAAAAATTCTAACTTGAATATTAAACTGCTTAAATACTGCTTCCATCTCTTGAATGGTTGCTCCTACTTCCATAAAATCAGTCCTACCTATGATTTCAATAATTTTATCTCTGGTTAGTCTGTTGCGGGTTCTTTCATTCATGATTGTATCACTGAAAAAATCAGTTAATGAATTTATCCAACATTCATTTTTAATATAATTGCCTTGTTTAATTGCCTTTCGTATAGTGTCCTCACTCATTTTTAAATGTACATATATATGCATGGAAAACGGATACGTTAGATGCATCTCTTAAATTTTCTGCTAATATATCAAACTTTTCACCTGATTTATTCATCATCTCAACGAACAATATTTTTATACCATCTAAGCCATATTCCTGATTTTCTAAATGTTCCATGTGTTTGGCAAACTCCTCGTCGTGTTTCATTATTTTTATTATTTTTGTAAATTCTGGATTGATTTGTTCCGTCTCTCCAAAATCAGTATCCATCATAACACCTGTTTTTTCAAAATTATCTTGCGGATAAAT